CACGTCTGATGGCAAGTAGCAGGATAGCTTGCAATTCCGGGTTATGGAGAGGCTGGGAACGGTAACGAAAGTTTCACCAAAGCCATAACACATAGCAGTATGTTAGGTGCATTGGCGCTTCGTATTTGCTGTTGATGTATTATGATGTGTCAAATTATTGATGTTTAGCTGTTTCATGTGCTTTCCGTCGATACGATTGGCATTGAATTGCTTTTATGCTTGTTTGTTCTGCTGTCGTGCAATTGTTTTATTGCAATGCCATTCTTTAGGGTTCCTTAAGGGTCTAGTTAGGGATGAGCCGGTCTGTTTTATGACCAGCCTTTGAACCCGTGTGAGCACTGGCAGTGAAGTGGGGTCGAAATAGGCCATCGCTCTCAGCGACATGCGCCCTCAGTGCACGAAGGTTTTTGCATTCTATGTGCAAGTGTGGCCTATGTACGTCTCCTAGACGTTTTGTACTTACCCCCAGTTCTCGCCATGCGTGCGGAAAAACAAAGTTCGAGTGCACAGACGCTGATGCTGAACTTGCTGTTATCACTTTATAGATTGTGATTGAAATATATGATTGGAATATGATTCGAATATTAGATTTGGATGGAGACGGAGGATAACCATTGCTGATCCTGTCAGTGATGTTTGACTGCTGCCGTTCATCTTGCAGCCCTGTGCTTTTCGCAGTGGTTGCTTTTCTTGTTGGGTGCATCATGGACTTGGCGGACGACTCGCCTAGTTTGCCCCCCTCCGTGGCATCTCGGTGAAACGTGACCATTTCTTTCACTTGCGCTGTAATGCACTTAGCGACAAGTTGGTGAAGTAAGCGAACTCATTGCTGGTCTGGTGGATGGCTTGCGTTCCAGGTGAATATGCACGGGGAGGAATCCTGTCGCAGAGTTGGATTCGTCAGTATGCTCGATTGCGCTGGGTTCTATTCTGCCAGGGAATCGGGAACACGGAGCACTTCTACTTTTTTTTGCTTCATGTAAACTTGGTCAAAGATGGATTGAGTCGCGAGTCTCATTCTATAATTGTGCAAGGCAGACGCGGTAATTGTTGGAGATGACGATGAAGCCCTCGTGGAGGTGTCGGCCTGATGGCTTCGAGTATGCAGCGTGTTGTTATTGTTGCTATCTGAGACGCTGTCGCACCCTGCTTCACCTCGATCCGCAGTGCCTTGCCGACGTTTCATCTTTGGTGTTCTAAGCGATTCTAGCTGCTCGGATCAGGGCGTGCTGCGAGCTATTGGGGGCTGGTCGGAATGGTGATGTTTGCCTGTTGCTTCCCGTCTTCTGTGTCTCTCTTGTCGTGCAGGGTTGTCCTTCTGCGGTCGTCTGTTTGGATGTCAGCCTGCTGTTGATCTGCAGTAGGACAGGTTGTAATTTTGTAGTCATCCGAGGCAACGACGGTCCTCGATTCCGAAGACGTTGCCGTTGAGGCGTCGGTGACGTGTGTTCCTTCGTGTGTAGATTTGTCTGAGAGGTCTGATTTGTGGCCTTAGCGGAATATTGCAAATTTACGTATATCAAGCACGAATCATGGGACGTATTCGATGAGCTGATTGATTGGCGAAACTCGGATTCACAAACTTTTCCCGATTGATGTAAGTAATTGTATGTGAACATGTTGGTCCTCCAAAACGTGAAAGACAATTTTGTAAGATGATTAACGCATGCTGATTGAAATTTTGGTCAATCTGATGAAACCTTCCAAAAAAATCAGGAACAACTTTTCATGTCGGGCAATACGGCCAACAGTGAAAACAAGTGGAGAAATCAAATCGGAAAAAAACCCGGCCGAAAATCAAAATCGAAAGAAAACAACATCAAACAAATGCAATCGGGATGAAAACCGGCCGAATATCTAAACAGAATCGACATGCCATCGAAACAAAGCCAGAAAATAAAAACGTTCATTTTGAATTTCGCCGATGTTTATCTGATTGTTGACCGGTTCTTTTGCACGTTGTGATACCACTGTCTTTTTGATTTTTGGTGGGTTTTCGAAGAATTAGTCCCAGCTTGTGACTGCACGCGTAGCCTGCGAGAAGTGGATAAGGATATGATTCGTATTGATCCGGATTGCAGTTTAGCTTGGGACGTGCCCTGTGTGCCATGTGGGGCTTTTGAACGCTCCGTGAACTCGTTGCCCCAGCGTGACCTTCGTAAAAATTGATAGTGTGAGATGCATCCTTTCTTTAGCGGTATCATGCCTGTTGCGAGTCAATTTGTATAAAGATATTTTGCCTTTGTCATTTAGGATTGCGATAGCTTGATATGGCATGGAAATTCAATGTCTTCCAAAAATCGTTCGGGAAACAACGTGCGCAAAGCCAACACGCCAACACCCCGACATTGCCTAAAACACATGAAGCCGGCCGCATTTGCAAGCCACTTGTTCTGAAACAAAACAAAACAATCGCCAATGTTCGCCAACATTCACATTTCGCAAAACTTAGTAACATATGAACACACGAAAACGGCGGTTCATCAAACTTGTAGGTTGCTGCCTCACCCCCCCCAACCCCGACTTCATTCACGGCACTGTGCGTATCCGGCAACGTTGAGGAAGAGTTCGGACCCCTTGGAAGATTGAATTTTTCCAATCAAAGACGCCCGAAACCTGCAAAATATGAATTCGTCACACGGCCAAAGACGTGCCAAGTTTCCACTACCACTACCATTAGTACTGCTGCTAATTGCTACTACCTGATTACATGTTACTAACAGTTATAGCTGTCACTAACAGGTACTAGCTGTTGCTGCTACTATTATTGCAACAACAACAATTACTACAATAACTACTACTAATACTACCGCTACTATTACTACTACTGCTGGCACAGCTGCTGCTGCTGGCAGGGAAGCGTAGTAGTTGTGGTAGTGGCAGCAGAATCAAATACATGAGCAGGCGTCACAGTAGCAATGGCGGTAGGAATGCAGTAGTAGCAAGTAGCAACAGCATTAGTAGCAGTGCAATATAAGCCGCAGCAGTCATGATTCATTTCTTCGAAAAAACAAATAGCTTGGGTGGTGTCAGCTATTGACTAGTTTCGTTTGTATGTTCAGCGGACATGGTATTTGCATAAATTTCGTTTGCGTTTCTGGAGGCGGCCATGCTGGAATGATTTTCCATGTCTGATTTGGTCTTGGACTGAAATTTGGCCTGCTTTGCTAGCCATGTGTGGATCCAACGGATTTGTGTAGATATATGGCCAGCTTTGCTGGCAAGCAACCGTGCTTAATTGCATGATCCTGGAATTGTGGCCATCCTGGCACGAATGGCGCAGGTTCGAGTTCTTGTCTTGCTGCCTTGCGTGTGCTTTGAGCACATATCATCCTCGCGGGCATGCTAGGCAATGGATGTTGGTCATGACCTTCTCAGCAAGCGCACGATACCTGGGAGGTGACAGGATTGTATGATGGGCGATGTTTTTCATTCATTCTCAGGTGCTGAGATGGCGAGCAGACTCCGGCAAAATTTGACAGATCCAGCGCGTTGCGCTTGATGATTGTAAGCAGTTCCGGTCTGCAAAGCTTGCAGTTGTTTCGCGGAAGCATTGCAAGGATAAGGCAAGCTGTGCGCCAACGCTGCAGTTCGGTGCCTGTGACGGAGACTGCAGAGAGGAGCATGCCATTGATGCATTCAATTGCATCAACACCTGCTTGGATGGATTTCCAGTGTTGCCCGTGCCAGGAGTGCTGCAAAGCCTGCTGCAACAACCGTGGTTCCAATCTTAGCCAACATCACACCGTGATGAATGTTGCTTTGCCGCGGAGCCGCTGATCAAGCACTTCTGCCAGGGCAGTTCGCAGGGCGCGAGTCATGCAGGACAAGCAAGGGAAGGGTTTTTGCATGCAAGAGTCAACATAGCAAGCAGTTGTCGCAGGTTTGCGAAAGAGTCGCAACACTAGCCGAGAACGTGGCCTGGGTGCCGTCGCATCTATGCTGCGCTCAAATAGTTGGCGGCTATTTGTATCCTTGAGTTGTTGCAGGTGCCTCCACGGTTTCTCGGCCAACCAGCAGGGAACGCATTGCAAGAGGCCAGTGGTTGATGCATCGGAGCTTATTGTGCTTGAGCTTGGGCACAGGCAATGGTGGCTTGGGCGATGCTGCTCAAGGTTGCAAGCCCAGTTTTATAAGGGTGACCCTAAATCGCAGCTTCTTTATGTTGCTTTGAAGGCCGGCTAGCCAACAGGGCCAGGGCCTGTGGAAGCGCCCCGTGGATAGAGAGATCGTCTGTTTTTGATGGTTAGGACTCCAACCAGATGCAAAAATCATCGTCCTGGACTTTGTCTTTTTGGCGCACTGGGTTCCAGCTTGCCGGCTTTTTGCATCGCAAGGTCGACAGGTGCTCTGTCGTCAGGATCATCGGCAGCTGGTCTTTCAAGGCCTTGCTTGGCCGTCAGAAATTACATTCAAGTTTAATTCGCGCTCACGCAAGGCATCGTGCTGCTCAACGACCAGCAAAGGCCTTAGGAGAACAATCAAAGGTTGCCGAGCATTCATGTACCTTCATGAGGCTCCCAAAGCCCGAGCGGTTGTGAATCCTGAGCCTTTGCTCCCAGATCGTGCCAAGAGTTACCGTTCCTTCTTCAGAAATCCGAGCGCTCAGGCCGATTCCCATTCGCGGCCGCCGCAGCACAGATGCAGAACGCCAGAAGGTGCCCGTCTTGGGCCAAGAGCGCCCATTGGTTCAGCTGTGCGATGTCAAGTCTCATGATGTGTCATGCAGTGTGCTCCCAGTGTCCCCGGAGAGGTGCCGCCTAATGCCCAAGCAGCCTTGGCCAAAGCTGCACGATCCTCAGTTGTGCAAACTGCCATGTGCAATCTTGCAGTGTGGCCATGTCCTGTCGGCTTGTCAGCCAAGGTCGCCTCGTTGCTTGGACAGGGAAGCTGGTGGCTCGGAAAGTTGTGGGCTGCAATTTGTCTCCCTCGTCATCCTTCCAGGCTCTTCATCCGCGGTGTCATCCGCGGTTCAGGCTGCAGCTGATGCGGGCGGAGCCATGCAGGAGAGCACTTGAGGTTTTCCAAAGAGCAAGTGGCCATTCTGCCACTGCTGCAGGACGAGCTCTTGAAGGCATGCTGTGGCTTTGGCCTGCTTCTTTGTCTGCTGATCGTGTGTATTCCCAGGTCAGCAAGCGGCTCGACCAACTTGAACGTCATGCTCTTGGATCGCTAGAAGTTTGCATCATTTCTGTGCACTCGGAGCCACGAGGCGAGAAGCAGCAGTTGGCGGAGAGCGGCCTCAACGTCCTGGTGCCGTTCTCACTCAGATGCAACCGCCGAGCGCCTCGTGTACGTAGTCTCGTAGGCGCGCTGCTCATCGAAAAGTCGCACAAGATTGGTGACTTAACGGCAGACGGGCATGTTTAGAACTCGATGCTTGGGGTGGTCCAGCTGCGCACAGGATAAACCACAACAAGCAGTTATCTACATCTAGATTCAGGACGGGGCTTCTTTTTTGGAGCTAGCTTTGTTTGCGTGAAAGCGAATTCAGTTCACAGGACAGGTTTGTGTTCAAAGCGAGATAACCCATTATGATCAGTATGAATTCTAGCGCAGAGCTTTCAGAGGAACGAGTGCCTTATGCACGCTGCGAGTGAAGACTGTCTGGGGTCCCAATCCAGGCAGGCATGGTATGTTTTTTTTTTCAACCGTCGGGAAGAGGGTAAGGGTAACGTTTCAGTCACAGGCACTCAGTCAAGATAGAACCTGGAAGATGAGCAAGCACATGCTGAGGCCAGCTCTTCGCCAAACGGTGCAACTCCTCAGCCAGTGCCGTGGGGGGCTTTGGGTTGCCGCCGCGCACGTTGCTATGCCCGTCATAAACATTTTGGCTTCCGAGGCCAGAAACAAGCCCTGCTGGCACGGAGGTGCGATGAGAAAAGTTTTGATTAGCAGTCCTATGAACACTTTGCAGACGGCAGCCGATATGGACAAGCTTGATACTCAGTGCTGGTGACTTTGTGGGATGATTTGCCATGTCAAGTTTATGCCCAAGGCATCCATGGCTTTTGGCGGATGGTCGCTTGGTCACTGCACACCTACAAGGCTTTGTCTCTAAAGATTCTAGGCGAACCCATGTGTGGTGCTTCGCTGTAGGTGAGAATCTGGCTCTGAAACGTGCCGTCATGAAGGCGCGCCGGGAGATCGATGAGCCGGTACCTTGGCACCGTGTCGTTTGTTTTCTGTCACAGACAAATTTTGGGCCAGCTTCAGTTAACGTTGTCAGGCTCCTGAAAGGAAGAGCAGAGACAGAGGCCGTGAGCACTGTTTGCCGTCTTTGCCAGCATCATGATGGCTGTGTGCAGGCAAGAGCTCGGGCACTGAAAGAGGAAAACAGTGCTGCTGCGGAGGTAAGCTGCTTCTCTTTGGTCGGTTACATTGTAAGCTGTGTAACATGCCTAAGTTATCACAATGGCTTGCTGCATTTGGTACCATGTAAGAGAGACCCGCCTAATGCAACCTACCATGCTTTGGAGCCATCTCAAGAGGCGCATGACATAGTGAGTGCTTTGAATCAGAGAGGCCTCGGCCTGGCTTGTTGGTAGTTGACTTTGTTTCCGTCTCGGCGTACGGTGAACATGGTGCTTGACCGTGACCAGTGCCAGTTTCTGTCCTTCGTGCTTGTTCCGCACAATCTTGGGAATCGCAGTGTGTCCCGCACTGCAAGGGTCGGGAGAAGCGTAGGCCGTGCTGAGTTTTTCTTCCGGGAAATAAGCCTTCTTTTCACTATGGGCCGTCGCAGACACGTCGTGGCCAATCGAAGCTGGTGGCTTAAAGCATGTGGCCAAGGATTGCTGGGGCCATGGTCACTAAGAAACTGGAGATAGACGCGCTGCTCAAATCTTCGGTCCACGTGATAGTTTTGAAGATGACCTCCATAGCCTGTGAATGCTAGCGGGACCACAAACTGATTTCCTTGAAGCAGCCGGCCAGTCCAGGGCAATTGAGTATCAGCTTCGACCTTGCCCAGGGTGGATGCGCTCAAGAGGAGCTTTGACAGGTATCGATCTGTACATTTGCACCAAGCAGAGCAGTGCGTGAGAAGTCTGAGAAATGCAACAGTTGAACATGGGTGTTATCAAACGAAAATCAGCCTTCGCACTAGCATTTTCAAGCAGATGAGTCTGAAATCAGATGTCCTGCCAATTCTCCTGCTGGGTTGGACCCGTTGAGGGGCTTACACTTTCGCACAAGATTGAGAGATGTTGAAGTTGCATCATGCTGCTCATAGCTGCAGGCACTGCGCCGCTACACGAGCACCTGGCTTCCTCAGGCGCTTCTTTTGTTGGTGTGCCGTTTGTTAAAAAGCAAAGGTAGCCCAAGCCTGCAGCCCAAGAGCCGACATAGCAGTGTTTCCCTTGCTCGCACGCTCTAGACTCTAGCGACTGCGAAGGATGTCTCGTTCTGATCGAACAGAGAGATCATGCAAATGGCTTGCAGGATTGGCAGAAGCCCAAGCCGTCCACAGCGGCATCAGCGGAAGGCACCTCAGAGGAAACGTAACTGAAATCGGAGCAAGAACTGCTGGCAGTTGCTGGCGGCAAGCATGAGACGCAAAGGCAAGCGGCAAGCTGCAGTGCCGTTGCTTGCAAGCTGAAATTTGAAAAATTGTTTGATCATGGCTGGAGGAGCGTTGTGGCAGCACACGCCGATATGTCTTCAGGACTTGATCCTCATGAAGACCAACAAGCCTCCAACACGTAATCACCCATTCTTGGCAAAGGAGCTTCCGGAGGCGCCGATGCAGTCCCAGAGGTTCCGGAGATTGCCAGAGGAACGCTGCATGGGAAATGTTGAATGTTGACAAGTTTGGCTCCTGACAGGAGCAGGTGCTTCTGGCGTGCAGTGCTTAGACTTCAGCACTTCAAGTAGGGCCGTGAGTTTCCTCTGCTCTGGGAAGTCCCGGACATCAGGACCATGCAGCTGGCCTGCATCGGACACCGGTCAGCCGCAGCCTCGATTTGCAATCGAATGAGCCCAAGCGTCAGTCAGTTGCCAGGACACATTCGTTTGTGATTGCGTGTTTTGGCTCAAGAGGCTTCTTTGCTAGAGCTGTGAGCAGAGGATGTCGGAATGGATTACCTGATCAGCTGCGGCTTGCCTGTCCATCATCGCTGGATGATGCTTCGCATGCCGTATGAGGTTGCAGGACGTGGCTCGCAGTGTGACGACAAGCAGTTTTCTGATGAGGTTCCTCAAGACCTGTCCGCTATGCAAGACAGCGCAGCCAGTGTGGCAAAGTTGCAAACGCTTCCACCACAGCAACGAAGACTCCTGCTTTTCTTTGACGTAGATGGAGTGCTCCATCCTTTGCAGGTGTGAGATGTTCTGAGGGCTTACGAGATATTACGAGGTAGCCGGAGAGACCTGAATGGGCCATGACAGGTTCGAGTCCTCGAGCAGACACAAAAGGTGGACACGTCGCACTGCTTCCAAAGGACTTGCAAGAAGGGGGTTCCACACAGCCATCATTACGCTAAAGAGCTCTGCATACCTTAATCATACAGCAACTGTTCGAGGGTTGTTCTGAGCTTCGTGTCTTCTGGTTATACTTGGGCGACCATTTGAGATGGTTTAGAGGGCTTGCGGAAGTTTCGTAATGTCTTTCTGTATTCCGTTGGTGTGACAGCCTAAATTTGCAACTAGGTCCCTCAAATTTTAGTATCCAAGTTGATATCCCAAGGTGACCCACACGTGAAAATGGGCTCCGCGAAAGTTTCGCGAAAGAAGA